CAGTCAACCTACTAGGGTAGTTACAAACAGCACAGGAATGAAAGCATCAACATGTATTGATCACATCTTTACTAATGCAGCAGAAATGTGCTTTAAAGCAGAATCAAAATCCATCGGACGTAGTGATCACAATATAGTAGCCATATCTAGGAATACCAAAGTTCCAAAGGCTGGGCCTAATATGGTGTATAAGAGGTCATACAATACGTTTTGTAATGATTCCTATGTTGTTGATGTAAAGAATATTTGTTGGTCCGCAGATGCTGCACTTGACACATTTATGAACTTGCTTATCCCAGTCACTAATAAGCATGCACCCTTTAGGAAAACGACTGTAAAAACTGTTAAATCCCTGTGGATTGATGAGGAATTTTAAAATTGTATGGTTGAGAGGGATGAGGCAAAAGGAATGGCAAATAAGTCTGGCTGCACAACCGATTGGCAAACGTACTGCAAATTGAAAAATAATGTGACTAAACTGAATAAAAGAAGAAGAAACTACACTATGAAACAAAGATAAATGACATAAAGAATGATAGTAAAACGCTTTGGAGCACCTTAAATGACATTTTGGGCAAAAAGGCAAACTCAGCTCCATCATTCACTGAATGGTGGCTCATTCATCACAAAACCAACTGATATTGCCAACTACTTTAATTATTTTTCATTGGCAAGATTAGCAAACTTAGGCATGACATGCCACCAACAAACGCTGACACTACAAATCCAAGTACAGTGCATTCGGAAAGTATTCAGACCCCTTGACATTTTCCACATTGTTACGTTACAGTCTTATTCTAAAATTGATTAAATAAAATGTTCCCTCATCAATCGACACACAATACCCCATAATGACAAAGAAAAAAAAGGTTTTTAGAAAAAAAAAAAAAAAAACTGAAATACTTTATTTACGTAAGTATTCAGACCCTTTGCTATGAGACTCGAAATTGAGCTCAGGTGCATCCTGTTTCCATTGATCATGCTTGAGATGTTTCTACAACTTGATTTGAGTCCACCTGTGGTAAAGTCAATTGATTATACATGATTTGGAAAGACACACAGCTGTCTATATAAGGTCCCACAGTTGACAGTGCATGTCAGAGCAAAAACCAAGCCATGAGGTCGAAGGAATTGTCCCTAGAGCTCCAAGACAGGATTGTGTCGAGGCACAGATCTGGGGAAGGGTACCAAAAAATGTCTGCAGCATTGAAGGTCCCCAAGAACACAGTGGCCTCCAAAATTCGTAAATGGAAGACGTTTGGAACCACCAAGACTCTTCCTAGAGCTGGTCGCCCAGCCAAACTCTGTGGAGATGGGAGAACCTTCCAGAAGGACAACCATCTCTGCAGCACTCCACCAATCAGGCCTTTATGGTAGAGTGGCTAGACGGAAGCCACTCCTCAGTAAAAGACACATGACAGCCCACTTGGAGTTTGCCAAAAGGCACCTAAATACTCTCAGACCATGAGAAACAAGATTATCTGGTCTGATGAAACCAAGATTGAACTCTTTGGCCTGAATGGAGGAAACCTGGCACCATCCCTATGGTGAAGCGTGGTGGTGGCAGCATCATGCTGTGGGAATGTTTTTTAGCAGCAGGGACTGGGAGACTAGTAAGGATCGAGGGAAAGATGAACGGAGCAAAGTACAGAGAGATCCTTGATGAAAACCTGCTCCAGAGCGCTCAGGACCTCAGACTGGGGCGAAGGTTCACCTTCCAACAGGACAACGACCCTAAGCACACAGCCAAGACAACGCAGGAGTGGCTTCAGGACAAGTCTCTAAATGTCCTTGAGTGGCCCAGCCAGAGCCCGGACTTGAACCCGATTGAACATCTCTGGAGAGACCTGAAAATAGCTGTGCAGCAATGCTCCCCAGAGCATTGAGCTTGAGAGGATCTGCAGAGAAGAATGGGAGAAACTCCCCAAATTCAGGTGTAGCGTCATACCCAAGAAGACTCGAGGCTGTAATCACTGCCAAAGGTGCTTCAACAAAGTACTGAGTAAAGGGTCTGAATACTTATATAAATGCGTAATTTCATTTTTCCATTTTATTTAATTAGCTAAAAGAAAATATGGGGTATTGTGTATAGATTAATGAGGGGAAAAAACTATTTAATCCATTTTAGAATAAGGCTGTAACGTAACAAACTGGAAAAGGTCAAGGGGACTGAATACTTTCCAAATGCACTGTATCTGACCAAATTATGAAAGACAAGCATGGCAATTTTGAATTACGTAAAGTGAGTGTCAAAGAGGTGAAAAAATAATTGTTGTCTATCAACAATGACAAGCCACCGGGGTCTGACAACTTGGATGGAAAATTACTGATGATTGGCTGAGAGAAATTGATGATAAAAAAGTTGTGGGACTGTTTTGTTAGACTTAAGTGCAGCTTTTGACATTATCAATCATAGTCTGTTGCTGGAAAAACGTATGTGTTATGGCTTTACTCCACCTGCTATATTGTGGATACAGAGTTACCTGTCTAACAGAACACAGAGGGTGTTCTTTAATGGAAGCCTCTCCAACATAATCCAGGTAGAATCAGGAATTCACCAGGGCAGCTGTCTAGGCCCCTTACTTTTTTATTAACGACATGCCACTGGCTTTGAGTAAAGTGTCTATGTATGCGGATGACTCAACACTATACACGCAAGCTACCACAGAAATCACTGCAACCCTTAACAAAGAGCTACAGTTAGTTTCAGAATGGGGTCGCAAGGAATAAATTAGTCCTAAATATTTCAAAAATAAAAGCATTGTATTTGGGACAAATCATTCACTAAACCCTAAACCTCAACTAAATCTTGTAATAAATAATGTGGAAATTGAGCAAGTTGAGGTGACCCTGGATTGTAAACTGTCATGGTCAAAACATATTGAAATAACATTAGCTAAAATGGGGAGAAGTCTGTCCATAATAAAGCGCTGCTCTGCCTTCTTAACAGCACTATCAACAAGGTAGGTCCTACAGGCCCTAGTTTTGTCGCACCTGGACTACTGTTCAGTCATGTGGTCAGGAGCCACAAAGAGGGACTTAGGAAAATTGCAATTGGCTCAGAACAGGGCAGCACGGCTGGCCCTTGGATGTACACAGAGAGCTAACATTCATAATATGCATGTTAATCTCTCCTGGCTCAAAGTGGAGGAGAGATTGACTTCATCACTACTTGTATTTGTGAGAGGTATTGACATGTTGAATCCTCGAGCTGTCTGTTTGAACTATTATCACACAGCTCGCAAACCCATGCATACCCCACAAGACATGCCACCAGAGGCCTCTTCACAGTCCCCAAGTCCAGAACAGACTATGGGAGGCGCACAGTATTACATAGAGCCATGACTACATGGAACTTATGGGTTAATAAAAAATTATTAAAATAAATAAAAATAATAATGTAACCATGCTAGGAACATCATGTAACCATGCTAGCGACATCAAGTAACCATGCTAGCAACATCAATTAATCATGCTAGCAACATCATGTAACCATGCTAGCGACATCATGTAACCATGCTAGGAACATCATGTAACCATGCTATGAACATCATGTAACCATGCTAGCAACATCATGTAACCATGCTAGCGACATCAAGTAACCATGCTAGCAACATCATGTAATCATGCTAGCAACATCATGTAACCATGCTAGCGACATCATGTAACCATGCTAGGAACATCATGTAACCATGCTAGCAACATCATGTAACCATGCTAGCAACATCATGTAACCATGCTAGCGACATCATGTAACCATGCTAGCAACATCATGTAACCATGCTAGCGACATCAAGTAACCATGCTAGCAACATCATGTAACCATGCTAGCGACATCAAGTAACCATGCTAGCAACATCATGTAACCATGCTAGCAACATCATGTAACCATGCTAGGAACATCGTGTAATCATGCTAGCAACATCATGTAACCATGCTAGGAACATCATGTAACCATGCTAGCGACATCAAGTAACCATGCTAGCAACATCATGTAACCATGCTAGCAACATCATGTAACCATGCTAGGAACATCGTGTAATCATGCTAGCAACATCATGTAACCATGCTAGGAACATCATGTAACCATGCTAGGAACACCGTGTAATCATGCTAGCAACATCATGTAATCATGCTAGCAACATCATGTAACCATGCTAGGAACATCATGTAACCATGCTAGGAACATCATGTAACCATGCTAGGAACATCATGTAACCATACTTGAAATATCATGCAATCATGCTAGGAACATCATGTAACCATGCTAGGAACACCGTGTAATCATGCTAGCAACATCATGTAATCATGCTAGCAACATCATGTAACCATGCTAGGAACATCATGTAACCATGCTAGCAACATCATGTAATCATGCTAGCAACATCATGTAACCATACTTGAAATATCATGCAATCATGCTAGCAACATCAATATGAACATGTAGTTATACAGTATTGTAGAGTCACTATGGCCAGATTCTCACTACGGCCGGGATTCTTACTAAGGCCGTGATTCGCATTGCGCCCACATCACACTGCACTTGACTTTCTTAAAGGAATTTATACTTGAGCTGTGCAGCGCATTGTGGTTTGTTTGAATCCTGGCCTTTCCCCACACCGGGTCATGGTTGGAGGGATAACTTCTGCAACAGTAGTACAGAAGATTCATTATATTTCCAGCCAGCCAGAACAGTTTCAGAGGTTGTTGAGGTGAGGTGGAGTAGTGGTCAGTACCTGCTCAGTCATAGGCTACCAGCTACTGATTGTGTTTTAAAGTGGTTGTCAGTTCTCATTCCCAGTACTGATTGTGCTCTGCCAGCCTAAGTAGAAAAGGCTTTGATTATGTCAGATACAGCTAGTAGCCTACAGTGGTGTCATGGTTTACAGTTTAACGATGAGTGGGGTTGGTGGGGGGTGTTAGGAATGGATGTTAGAGTACAGGGTAGACAGTCAACTTCCACTTCCACATCCCTCCCCTAGGTGGCAGCAGCTACAGGGTCATACCCAGAACTGGTTCTGCTGTAGAGTGGGTGGTGTGGTCCTAATGAGCTGGGCTGAACTCTCTGGATTTACAGCATTCCACGAGCAGTTCTGCAGGGATGCAGAGTTGCTAACTGAGCCCCGATTGGCTAAAGGAAGCAGCCTGTCCAAGGCAGGGCTCCCACGGCAGCTGGGATTCAGCGGGTTCACTGTTACCATGGGAACGGCCGCGCTCCTCTGTGGCTGGCCGTGATAGGCCGGTGGGGTTGAGGGCGAGGGCAGCGGCTTCGGGGTCAGAGGTTTCTGCTTCCTCTTCCTGTTGCGTCTCAGCAGTAGAAACAGCACCACCAGGATGATGACCAATAGGAGCAGGGCCAGGAGAGGTAGAACAACCAATAGGGGGTTGGAAGTCTTCTGAGGGTACAACTCTACTCGGACCGGTGTATTCATAAAGGGGATCTCATAAAGTTCTTCTCCTCTACCCATGGTGGGTTTGCCCAGACTTGTACCTGTCGAGCCGTTCCGGTTGGTGTTCCCCCAGCGGTTGCGACCTTTGAACTTCTGGTTTGTCTTGCTGGGTCTCTGTGTGGAGAGGAGGGAGGTGGACAGGGAAGGTAGTGCTGTCCCAACACCAAACACTGTTGTTTGGTTCGTTTGGTTCAGAGGCTGAGAGAAAGGACTGCTGGTGGTCAGGATGGGACTCTCTGTGCTTCTGACTAGCGATGGATCGTATGGAACGACGGTGAAGCGGAACTCTCCCTTAGCAGGTGGGACGTTCTTCGCTTTCACGACAAATACCAACGAGTCGTTCAGCTCCTGCACTTCAGTCATGTTAGCATTGAGCTCGATGGATAACCTCTCCTGCTTCACATCCTGAAAGGAGAAAGACTCCACCGGCTCAGTTTTCATACCGGCTTTGGCTTTTCCTCTGGCCAGCTTGCCGTGCTTCGGCTGGGACACGACCTCGAAGATGGGGTCGCTGCTTGTTAGAGATGCAAGCTCAGTTGCATTGAGGAAACCAGTGTTGAGTTTGACCACAATGCCGTTGGGTATTCTCACCCCCTTGCCAAACCTCAACAGGGGCTTAACAGTGATGTTGACAACCTGATTTGTCAGGTTAGCTTCCGCCGTAAACACAGTGAACTCAAAGCTGTCCTGACCAGACGTGGCGCTCGTCATATGATAAAACAAGCGACCAGTCCTTAAGTCCTCCTGCTCAAACTGCCTCAACTCCTGGTCGCCCAGCCGAAGGATCTTGCCATACCGCGGCAGCGCGGTGATCCGGTAGTGAACCATGGTGTTTTTCCCGTTAGTCTCTGCAGCCAGACTCCCCTGGGTTAACACTACAGAGGTCTGACCCTGCATCAGAGCCAGCCCTGTGTTATTCACCAGGGAGATGGTGATCTCTGTCACCTCCAGGTTGAATAGCTTGTACACCGGCTTGTGGTGGCCGTCCGAGACACTGAAATAGAAGACCCCCGATGCCTGGCTTCCATCATGGACAAAGTACACTTTCCCACTGTTGATCTGAGCCTGAGTGAAGGACACCACAGACTCATTCAGGCTTCCTCCCAGGGCCAGATAGCCATTGTTTGGCTTGCTGATGACAGTGTACTGGATGTCCTCTGAAGGGTTGTCCAGGTCTTCCACGTTGAGGTTCTGCAGCCCCAGGGCCACTATGTCCCCCTGTACCACACTCAGGCTGGGGGCTTTGGTCTTCAGGACGGGTGGCTGGTCATTGATCGGGACCACTGTGATGTTGAACCACTCCTCCAGCACCTGGTTAGAGAAGAAGAAGTTTACTTCATTGTCCAATGTACACAGAAACTGTACACATAAACTCCTTTAGAGTTTGGAGCAGAACTTTAATGTTCTCAATGAGGCAATTAATTTAGTAGCATACACAATTACAGTGCATTCGGAAAGTATTCAGAACCCTTGACTTTTTCAACATTTTGTTACGTTACAGCCTTATTCTAAAATGGATTAAATACATGTTTTTCCTCATCAATCTACACACAATATCCCATAATAACAAAGCAAAAACAGGTTTTTAGACATTTTTGCAAATGTATTAAAAATAAAAAACAGAAATCCCTTATTTACATAAGTATTCAGACCCTTTACTCAGTACTTTGTTGAAGCACCTTTGGCAGCGATTACAGCCTCGAGTCTTCTTGGGTATGACGCTACAAGCTTGGCACACCTGTATTTGAGGAGTTTCTCCCATTCTTCTCTGCAGATCCTCTCAAGCTCTGTCAGGTTGGATGGGGAGCGTCGCTGCACAGCTATTTTCAGGTCTCTCCAGAGATGTTCGATCGGGTTCAAGTCCGGGCTCTGGCTGGACCACTCAAGGACATTCAGAGACTTGTCCCGAAGCCACTCCTGCGTTGTCTTGGCTGTGTGCTTAAGGATGGTGCCAGGTTTCCTCCAGACGTGACGCTTGGCATTCAGGCCAAAGAGATCAATCTTGGTTTCATCAGACCAGAGAATCTTGTTTCTCATGGTCTGAGAGTCTTTAGGTACCTTTTGGCAAACTCCAAGCGGGCTGTCATGTGGCTTTCATTATTGTGATGACTATTATTTATCGAATAATTACCTAGTATGTTAAATTGCTACTAGATTCAATTAATTATGTAACAATTAACTCATTAGGAATTTTGGGCACCACTGGAAAATATGTTTAACGAGTTACCGTTTCCCGAATTAACTCTAAAGATATCTAGATATCTCTTATCATTTAACAGTCATTTATTAATCATTTATCTCATATCAGTCTCATTCTGAAAGTCGTAGGCTCTTTAGGTCTGCACGAACCCGGGTCTTACTGATCATTCTGTACCACACAAATTGATTTAATTATTTATTTACTAACTAATTAAAAATGATAACACAAGATACAAACACATACACGGTATAGGTAGGGATTAGAAACTTAATACAATGAAAACGGGTCCCTAGTGGACTAACACAATATGACACTTGTTACAAAAGATGGCGATTTAAAGAGAGAGAGAGAGAGAGAGAGACAGAGAGAGAGAGAGAGAGAGAGAGAGAGAGAGAGAGAGAGAGAGAGAAAAAACACTTGGATACACATGGATCTCAGTCTTTTATGCGCTCTGGTAAAGAGGGGCGTTTTCCGTCATGCTGACATGCTCTCTGAGGCGTGGCTAGTTACGAGGCAAAAGTATTATTATCACTATGATTTTGTTAGAAAGCTAAAATCACATTCCATTGTCTTCCTCCTTGATATTTTCTACACAAGGTAAAGGACGTAAACTACATTTGGTTTCGTTATAACGCCTATATACAATTTTTAATGACATCACAAAATAGACATTAATTTTCCACATTCCATTTCTCATCATTCCCAACGTTTGGATGTTGAAATATATTGTCCCAATGTTTTCATTGTTGGATGTTGAAGTTTTTGGCGGCAAAAGTCTCTGAAACAAAGGACATTCCTTTCACCATACTAGAGGGCCAGAGATAGCTTCTCCTATCTCTAATTTATGGCAGTATTAAGGTGTCAAGACCGGCACAGAGGGTCTGGTTGTTGTCGGCCATTTACCAAGCTGATATGAGGCCTTTGATCCTCACCCAGGGAGAGTCATGACAGGGCTGTCCTGTGCCTTTTACTAAGGAGTGGCTTCCGTCTGGCCACTCTACCATAAAAGGCCTGATTGGTGGAGTGCTGCAGAGATGCTTGTCCTTCTGGAAGGTTCTCCCATCTCCACAGAGGAACTCTGGAGCTCTGTCAGAGTGACCATCGGGTTCTTGGTCACCTCCCTGACCAAGGCCCTTCTCCACCGATTGCTCAGTTTGGCCGGGCGGCCAGCTCTAGGAAGAGTCTTGGTGGTTCCAAACTACTTCCATTTAAGAATGATGGAGGCCACTGTGTTCTTGGGGACCTTCAATGCTGCAGAAATGTTTTGGTTCCCTTCCCCAGATCTGTGCCTCGACACAATCCTGTCTCGGATCTCTACGGACAATTCCTTCGACCTCATGGCTTGGTTTTTGTTCTGACATGCACTGTCAACTGTGGGACCTTATATAGACAGGTGTGTGCCTTTCCAAATCATGTCCAATCAATTGAATGTACCACAGGTGGACTCAAATCAGGTTGTAGAAACATCTCAAGGATGATCATTGGAAACCGGATTCACCTGAGCTCAATTACGAGTACTATAGCAAAGGCTCTGAAACCTTACAATACCAGTCAAACATTTTGGACACACCTACTCATTCAAGGGGTTTTCTTAATTTTTTTAAACTATTTTCTACATTGTAAAATAATAGTGAAGACATCAAAACTATGAAATAACACATATGGAATCATGTAGTAACCAAAAAAGTGTCAAACAAATCCAAATATATTTTATATTTGAGATTCTTCAAAGTAGCCACCCTTTGCCTTGATGACAGCTTTGCACACTCTTGGCATTCTCTCAACCAGCTTCACCTGGAATGCTTTTCCAACAGTCTTGAAGGAGTTCCCACATATGCTGAGCACTTGTTGGCTGCTTTTCCTTCACTCTGCGGTCCAACTCATCCATAACCATCTCAATTGGGTTGAGGTCGGGTGATTGTGGAGGCCAGGTCATCTGATGCAGCACTCCATCACTCTCCTTATTGGTCAAATAGCCCTTACACAGCCTGAAGGTGTGTTTTGGGTCATTGTGCTGTTGAAAAACAAATGATAGTCCCACTAAGTGCAAACCAGATGGGATGGCGTATCGCTGCAGAATGCTGTGGTAGCCATGCTGGTTAAGTGTGCCTTGAATTCTAAATAAATCACAGACAGTGTCACCAGCAAAGCACCCCCACACCATCACACCTTCTCCTCCATGCTCCACGGTGAGAACCACACATGCGGAGATCATCCGTTCACCTACTCTGCGTCTCACAAAGACACGGCGGTTGGAACAAAAAATCTAAAATTTGGACTCATCAGACCAAAGGACAGATTTCCACTGGTCTAATGTCCATTGTTCGTGTTTCTTGACCCAAGCACGTCTCTTCTTCTTATTGGTGTCCTTTAGTAGTGGTTTCTTAGCCAGCAATTCGACCATGAAGGCCTGATTCACGCAGTCTCCTCTGAAAAGTTGATGTTGAGATGTGTCTGTTACTTGAACTCTGTGAAGCATTTATTTGGGCTGCAATCTGAGGTAGGGGTGGTATACAGAAGATAGCCCTATGTGGTAAAAGACCAAGTCCATATTATGGCAAGAACAGCTCAAATAAGCAAAGAGAAACGACAGTCCATCATTACTTTAAGGTGCAGTTAACTCTAAGGAACTTATCCTCTGCAGCAGAGGTAACTCTGGGTCTTCCTTTCCTGTGGCGGTCCTCATGAGAGCCAGTTTCTTCATAGCGCTTGATGGTTTTTGCGACTGCACTTGAAGAAACTTTCAAAGTTCTTGACATTTTACGGATTGACTGACCTTCATCTCTAAAAATAATGATGGACTGTCGTTTCTCTTTGCTTATTTGACCTGTTCTTGCCATAATATGGACTTGGTCTTTTACCAAATAGGGCTATCTTCTGTATACCACCCCTACCTTGTCACAACACAACTGATTGGCTCAAACGCATTAAGAAGGAAAGAAATTCCACAAATTAACTTTTAACAAGGCACATCTGTTAATTTAAATGCATTCCAGTGACTACCTCATGAAGCTGGTTGAGAGAATGCCAAGAGTGTGCAAAGCTGTCATCAAGGCAAAGGGTGGCTACTTTGAAGAATCTCAAATATAAAATATATTTTGATTTGTTTAACACTTTTTTGGTTCCTACATGATTCCATATGTGTTATTTCATCATTTTGATGTCTTCACTATTATTCTACAATGTAGAATTTTTGTAATTATTTTTCTGTTGTTGCATAAAATGTCTAAAAACCTGTTTTTGCTTTGTCATTATTGGGTAAGGTGTGTAGATTGGATGAGGAAAAACATGTATTTAATTCATTTTAGAATAAGGCTTTAACGTAACAAAATTTGGAAAAAGTCAAGGGGTCTGAAAACTTTCCGAAATGCACTGTATGTACATACAGACAAAATCATAATTGGATATGAACAGACATGTACCAGCCCAGACATAGACAGTAGGCTACATGTGTGGAAAATGCAAGCTAGGTTACATATCATACACACCTGGCTGACATCTAGAGGGCGCTGAGCCGGCTTTCCCTTGGGGTTCAGCCAGGTGTCGAAGAGAAAGCGGTCGTGGAGCGTCTCGGAGTCGTCGTGGCGGTATGTAATTCCATACTTGTTGAGCATGTACTGGGAGAAGTTAGGTTTCTCCACACTGAGGTTCCTCTCTCCCACGACGATAACACCATGCTGGGGTAGAGACTTGACCTGGAACCAAACCTCCTGGGAGCTGCGCTGGGGCGCGGGCAGCTTGAACATTAGGTTAGACGCATCCAGCTTGGACTTGTCGATGACAACACTGTCACCCTCTGTCACCACTGCACCTAGAATGAGAGACAAGTATTCCTCTTTAACTTTAACATTTCACCAAACTTGATTTGATTAATAGAACCAATGAAATGTGTTGCTAATATTTCGACTACTACAATAAATACATGAGGCGATCAGGAGGAAGCCTGTTTTATGTCCCATAACTGTATAATATTCTTGAAAAAATAACCATTATTTATAACATTGCATATTGGGTTGTACATGATCTTCCGCCAATGATTCCCTGATGGCCCACCTGTGTTAGCGAGGAGCAGTGTTTTGTGGTCGGGTCCAGCGTTCTCGTAGGAGATGTCCATCTTGAAAGTCTGGGTCTCCAGGGCAGCCGGTGGTGAAAACACTGAGTAAGTCATTGAGTCCATGGCGGACCATCCAACCGACTCCACGAGACTTTGGACGTACAAAACCTCCCCCTGGTCCAGCTGAGATACACAAAGAAGAAGAAGAAGAAGAAGAAGAAGAAGAAGAAGAAGAAGAAGAAGAAGAAGAAGAAGAAGAAGAAGAAGAAGAAGAAGAATTAGGAGAAGAATTAGGAGAAGAATTAGAAGAAGAAGAAGAAGAAGAAGTAGAAGAAGAAGAAGAAGAAGAAGAAGAAGAAGAAGAAGAAGAAGAAGAAGTAGGAGAAGAAGGGGGAGGAGAAGAAGACGACATGCAAAGTTAGATAGTCAACTTCGCAAACATTCATCCAATGGTCCACCTGAGACACACAGAGACCACTAATCAGTGAAGGCTGGTGTTACTATAAATCGGACAGGCAAGGCCGCAATTTGCCCACTTTTCAACGTAGCCAAAACACTAAATAAAGCATTGGATAAAACATAAACAACTTTGGTGAAAACATCCCATAAAAAACCCCCACAAATAATTCAAGACATGAACGCTTCTCGTGAGTCACTTCTTCCGCTATAGAAGATCTTGTCTGTGGTTGATATTCAGAATGGAAACAGATTTATAATACATGTCTATGAACTCAGGTGTGCTCCACAGAGATTGGACAGTTTGGCCAAAGGCCTTATTCTTGTTTTCGTAAACGTGTAGTTCTTTATTGAATGGAACAGTGGAGATAAGACAGATATGTGAGCCAGAACGGCAGTGTGTCGGATTCAAACCCACGCCGACTCTGCTATGTGTACCCTGGTTAGTGAGGCGTGGGTTTACTCATAACATGCGGTTATATCCGCGGGGCAGGTGGTTCAGGGTCATGAAATATTGTGTGTATGAAGGGCGGGTGGCCGGCAGGTTGAATAAAGAGAAAATGCATTAAAAAAATCCATAAATGAATCATTCTTGTGCAATTCATATCTATAGGCTACATTTAGGGGGGTTTTTCATCATTATTTTATCTGGCATTAGTGTGCAAGCCTAAGCTTTAGGGCCTCACGCCGAATGAGAACTGGTTCTGTTCTGTTTCTCAACAGTGCTGCAAAAGAAAGGAAGACAAAGTAGGGAACTGTAGCCTCGAAACTGGACAGTGGTTTTCTTTACTTTGATTTTCTAAACTGGGCCTTATTCAATCAAAAACAATGACCGACCAAGCTTCCTGTTAATGCAAGACAACATTCTTCCTGCATTTGTTAGAATTTATATCCTGTTGAGTTTCTTTGTTGTTTATTTCTCACTGTAAATATTATGCTTTCCCAGGCAGTATGGGCCCGATTCAGACTTAAGAAATGTATGCTCTCCTACGCATGCCTTTCCTACGCACTTCTCAGCAGGGGTTGGAACCTAAATTATTTTCTAATCACTTAGTTCTGAACAGAACCATTATTTTTTTTGTTCCTTTCAAAATAAAGTTCTGAACTGGTTTGAACCCCAAAAAAGTACTGGTTTATATAATTCCTTTCTGTTCCTTCCTGTTCCTTTCTGTACCTTCCTGTTCCTTCCTGTTCCTTCCTGTTCCTTCCTGTTCCTTTCTGTTCCTTCCTGTTCCTTTCTGTTCCTTTCTGTTCCTTTCTGTTCCTTCCTGTTCCTTCCTGTTCCTTTCTGTTCCTTTCTTTTCCTTTCTGTTCCTTCCTGTTCCTTTCTGTTCCTTTCTGTTCCTTTCTGTTCCTTCCTGTTCCTTTCTGTTCCTTTCTGTTCCTTCCTGTTCCTTCCTGTTCCTTTCTGTTCCTTTTTAAACCTCTGAAATGGACTTTAAAAAAAAAAACATTTAGCTCAACATTAAATTACTTCACCATTCAGTTGTTTACATGTGCGATGAACAGACAAGTGGGTGGGGAGAGAGCGAGAGAGGGTGGAGGAGGACGCTTGGCTTGAAGCGCTGGGCATCTTGTTATGACATGCATTATCTGAATTATACCTACAGAGGAGCAGCTTCTATGGAGGAACTTTGAATGTCTTTGAACTTCCGAGAGTTTGCTTAACGTTGGACTAGAGCTAAACTAGCTAGCTAACAAAGCTTGTGTGTGCAGAGCGGTACCAGAATTAAAAACACGTCTTACCTTTTTATAGTTAATGTGAAATGTGATAACTATAGTATCCTTAACTAGCATTGAAAAAGTTAATCCATTCTTCTGTAATTAAAAATCTCTCCCTAATTTCTGAATCACGCTTGTAACGTCAGTAGGCTACAGTAGCCTATACTTCGGAGGTGGAGGGGGAGGGGCAGGAAGCCTATGCTCTGGAGGGGGAGGGGCAGGTAGCCTATACTTTGGAGGGG